TGTGTGTGTGTGTGTGTGTGTGTGTGTGTGTGTGTGTGTGTGTGTCCCCGTCGGTCTCTGGTCCAGGAAACCTTAGCCAGTCACGTGGCCGCTTTCCCTGTTTGTCTAAGTAAGCAGTTCAGGCCGGCTGCAGCCAGGAGGCTGAGACATGGAGCCAGGGGAGGGGGCCACACTGGCGTGGGAGCTGGACGTAAGGGTCACTGGGGACAGACGGGGCAGCCCTGGGGTTCTTGGGCCTCTAGGCTTGGTATGGGGAGTCCTGGCCTCGGGAACGGCCCTGCTTCTGATCTCCTGCCCTCCTTGGCCTCTCCTACCTCCATCTGGGCAGAGAAAGTGTTAGCCTTGCTGACTACAGGGAACCCTCCCAGCCCTGAAATGTCCTCTGACCAGGAAGGACTCAAAAGGGCAGAGCCCCAGCCTCACAGAGGGGCATGCGCATGTGCACCCGCCATCTGTCACATCCCCTGGAGCTTGCTGCTGAGTGCTGGCCCTCGGCAGGAGAGCCCAAGTCAGGCATATGCATCCATATGCATCCAGCAGGCCACTGATGAATTCAACAAATAGGTGTTAAGCACCTACTATGTGCCAGGACCCGGGCTGGGCTGGGCAAGGAGTAGGGTCGTCAGAACACAGATCTTCTGGAACTTCTGGGGAACCCTCACCCCTGTGATATATTTTCTTCCTGTTGGATGGGCAGGATCACCTTTGATTGCAAAGACCCCTTGCTCCCGTCATGAAGCAGCCATGTCCCTTGGCCACTGCCATTCCAGGAGGATGGGACCCCAGCACTGTTGGGGCACAACCGGCAAGGTGCAGAGATAGTGCCTAGTCTCCCACAGACTGAGCAGCTGGGGGAGTGTCCCCTTCCTCTGCAGTGCTGGGAGCCAGAGCAGATATAGGCAGAGTGCAGAGGCCCTGAACCCTGGGGACTTCCGGGCCTTCTCGGAAGCCCCCTGGGTGGAGAGCCCCAGGGGAAGTGGGCCTCCTCCTGCCCAAAGCCTGTGCCCTAGGAAACCAGGAGGAGCAGGGTTTGGGGGGCTGAGGGCCTTTGTTCAAGCCTTACCCAGCCGGCTCGGCGTGTCTTAGCTATGGAAGACACAGTCCCGCTGGGACCTGGAGGAGGAGCGCTGTGGGGGCCTGTGGGGGCCCGTCGGGACTGTGCTTCTGAGAGCCCACCTGGGTTCATATGCCTGTTTGCCCCCTTCCTCCTTGCTCCTTCTCTTTCTCCTTCTTTTGAGAAACAATTTCCTGGCAGCCAAGTCTGTGCCAGGCCTGGGCTCACTACAAGACCATCCCTGGCCTGGAGATGCTCCCTGCCAAGCCGGCATCAGGCAACATCTCAGGGTGGACCAAGGATCCAGGCTGAGCTGAAGCCCAGGAGGAAGGCAGCCATTGGATGCCCATCGGGGTGCGGCTGACCCCGCAGGCTACCCTGGGCTCTGGGCAAGCTTAGGCACACTTTCCCCAGATGCGCTGACAGCTAAACCCACCGGGTGCCCAGCATGAGGGGCCCAGAGGGTGGGCATCCAGGCCACACAGAGCATTGTCAGGCCTTGCTTCTGTTGCGATAGGATTTGGGGGTATTCAGCCTGGAAGAGTCCCACGAGCTCATGAGCCCAAGGCTGTTTTCTTATAGCTGGGATACTCCAATTCAAAAAAGGGAAAGAAGTGGGGGGCCAGTGGCTGAGCTGGTGACACGGGCCAACCATCCTACCACCCACAACTGAATATGGATCCTGGACAGGGATGGTTATGAAGGTACTAGGCAAGAGTCCCAGAATGCCACCTCGGGCAGTGTGTCCCCAGCCTTAGCTTGCATGCCCCCAAGGTCAGGAAACTCACTATTGCCCCATGGCTGTCTTAGTAACTCTTTCTGGTAACTAGTCCCTTACTCCCCACCAGGCTGGAGTCTGGCTTCTGTCTTCCACCCTGCTCACCTCAGGCCACAGACATCCCCAACAGAGTCCTTCCAGGCAGAGCATCAATCTGGGCCCACAGCTGGCCCCATCAGGGCCTGTTTGATTGCAGTAATATGGATAAGTCATCAGCGCCCTGCACTGGGCAGCCAGGGTGTGGCCAAAGTGAGCCCCTGCCCTTGGGATCAGACCCATCCCAGCATGGCCCCCAGGGAGGTTCTTAGGCTGCCCACGGCGCACACGGGAAACCTGGCTCCCAGCTCTGTCCCTGTCCCTGGGGTGATCTCAGGCAGGGCCCAGCCCCAGTCAGACCCAAATCACCTCCCCTCTGTGCTCTTCCGCAACACTGAGCTGTGAGAGGCCTTTGTCCCTGGTGGGTCTGCGGCAGGCTGGAGGAGTCTTCTGGACATTCTGACCTCTTTGCTTTCTGAGGCACCTGTTTGCCCAGCAGTCTTGAGAGAGACCTGGGGTGCTGGGGCTGCCCAAAGCCTGTGCCCTAGGAAACCAGGAGGAGCAGGGTTTGGGGGGCTGAGGGCCTTTGTTCAAGCCTTTTCCCCATCCCTAGGCCAGGCCACCAACCTCGAAGCTCCCACCACATCCCCGCTTACGGACAGGTGAGTTTCTGGCTCCTGAGACACAGGGAATAGGTTGAGTTCACCCGGAGGCCATGGCGTGGCCCCACAGCCCTGGGCCAAACTTCCAGCCCCCCTCCCACCCGCCCCCCCGACCCCTGACGCATGTCAGGATGCAGGCGTGCAAGGCCGGGAGTGGGATGAAGGGCTCACACCCTGGGTCCGTGCCAGGGTCGGACAAGGTGCTGTTCCGGGGTGGGGGCTGCACTGCCCAGCGGGGGTACCGCACCTTCTGCAGAAGGGGCTCTGCTCCCCCCCTCATCTTTCAGCACTAGCAAGTTCTGCCTCTGAGGCCTGGCAGCTGTCCCCTCCTCAGCTTCTCCTCGTGTCCTCGTCCCTCCCTCACGGCTCCCCAAAAGTGACACTCCCCCTCTGCCCCGAGTGGGGGAAGGCGGTGGTTTGAGGCCCCCCGGGAGGGCCTGATTCCTGCGGCCCTGCTCAGCTGTGCCTGGAGTTGTGCACTGCTGGGTAGAAAACCCACTGCTGCTTTTGTGGAGTCCTTTTGCTAGAAAACAAGTAGCTGGAGGTCTAGAGGTCAGAGGCCAGAGGCCACCGAGCAGGCCAGGGCAGTCTGCCTGCTCTCACCCCAGAAAACTTGAGCGCATATGAGGAGCCCACCCCCACCCCACCCCCGGCCCCAGGGCCCTGCCTCTCTCCCGGGCGGGTGCGGCCAGTGGGACAGGAAGCCAGGGAAGGCCTGGAGGATGGGACTCAGGGTGGTCTGGGCCTGAGCCAGGGATGCTGCAAAGCCTAACCCTGGCCTGGCCCCAGGGCCACAGGCACACAGGTCACCCACCCGACAGGAAACCCTGCCCGGCACCCCCTTTGTCCCACCCCATGTTTCCCGCGGGTGGCGCTTCTACTGTTTCCCGTGGGAGCTGCTGCCAGGAGTCATACCCTCTTGAGAAAGGAAGCCGGACCTCAGGCTCTCAGGCTGCCCTGCCTCTGACCTGCACTGATCCCCTCCTAGGTCCTCCCACGGGTGGAAGCTTCGGGCCCACACCCATGCCTCACCCCACACATGCTGATGACTTATCTTCTCCCAGACAGTCGGTCACCTTTAGGGACTGGCAAGAGAAACCTCCTAGTAGGGTTAGGCCTGGGAGCCCAGAGACCAGGCTTCATGGTCTAGGATCCACCACGAGCTTGCTGGTGCACTTGGGCAAGCCACTCCACCGCTCTGGGCCTCAGCTGTAGAAAGAAAAGGGAGAAGCAGCAGCTCTGCTCAGCTAAGAGCATCCCATGAGATAAAGGACTTGGGGGTAGGATAAATTTGTACCCTTAAGGACAACCAGGTTTGGGATTAACTGCCCTGGAACCTCCATCACGCATCCCAGACACTGGTCTCCAGCCCAGCCGGGGCGCCTCGTCTATGCTGAGCCCCAGGCAGGGAGAGAGGCATGGGTGGCTGCTAGTGGCCCCATGGCGGGTGGGGGTGCTGTTGCTGGCATGGCCCCTCTCTGGGTCATCCCAGGCCTGGGGCAACAGCACAGGGGCAAAGCTGGGTATCCGTACCCGGGAAGGAGCCTGCCTTTCTCCCTTCTCCCAGGAGCTGAGTGGTGGTGCATGCTGGGGTCTCTGCAGAACCCCACAGTGATCAGGCAGGAGGGCTAGGTTGGTGCGCCTGGGGGCCAGAAGCCAGGATGGGGGCAGTGCCGAGGGGCAGGCTGTGGTGCCAATATCCTGCCCTCCCCCCGTCCTGGCAGGTGCTCGGAGGCCTTTGGTCTTCCTTCAGTTGTGATGTTGAGCCTAAGGCGCTCGGGGAGACCCAAGGTAATGATACCATGAGCTCTCAGTGCTTCTGTAGTCCTCTGTGGGGGTGCTGCTCTAATGGCCTGGCGACAGAAATGCATATCCCCCATCTCTGTGAGGTCACTGTTCCGCTTACCCCCATTTCCTGGGGAGAAAACTGAGTCACAGAGAGATGAGCCAACCTGCTGGGCTTTGAACTGGGCAGCCGGTCCCGGAGTCAGTACCCTTGGCCACTGCACTGCCCTGCTCCTCACACCCACAGCCCCCTCCCCAAGCCAGGTGCCCACAGCCTACACCCAGCTCCGCATCAGCAGGGGTACACCCTGGGGTGTCACCTGCTCCCAAAGCAGGGCAGAGGGAGGGTCAGGACGCCAAGTGAGCAGATCCGAGTTGCTGTGAAATCAGATAGGCTCACAGACTCAGGGCTACGCTGAGCTTGTGGAGCAGCTGAGAGCTTGCCAGCAACCGGGAAGGTCTGTGGGGCCCTGCCCCTCCCTGTGCTGTGGTCACAGCTCAGCCCCAGCGGCTTTGGACACCTCACCCCCTGAGCCTCAGCATCTGCCACATGGGCCTTTCAGAGCCAGCTGTGAGGAGTCCTTGATATTCTGGGAGCACAGTGTCCGAGCCCCCACAGCCCCTCAGTGGGTGTTCATTTCTTCCCCAGCGCATCAGGCCTCTAGCACCAGGGACATTCCTGGCAGCAGGATTATTGTGGGCAAGGGTGCAGAGGTGGGAGACCCAGACATGTTTAGGGAAAGGTTACAGGTCAGAGGCAGGCTGAGGTCTTCAATAAGAGGCTGAAAAGTTAGAACTGAGCCTCATAGACAATGGGGAGCCAATGGAAGGCTCTTGGACAGAGGAGTAACGCACTGTCGGGGAGAGGAAGTGGCAGTGGGGAAGCCTGACGTGTTCATCCAGGTATGGGGCTCTGATGCAAAAGGAGTCTTGTGGCTAAGAAGGTTGACCCAAGTGGATGGCTTGGCAGGCCTCAGTTTTCCTCCTATAAACCGGGTCCGTGGTCCCCAGGGTGCTAGCCATCACAGGCTGGAAGTCTGCGGGGCACTGCAGGGAGGGGCAGGGGATCGGCGCTAATGCCTCTTCCTCTGCGTGTCCCAGAGTCCGTGTCCCTGCTCCCGGGGCTGGTCTGGGTTTCCCACCCAGCCCTGGGTGGGGCCCCACTGCTCCTTCCTCCCTCTGTGGCTTTCTGATCCTAAACAAGAGGGGCCTCGAGGTTGCAGCGGGCTGTGGGGTGTGAGCCAGGGTGGGGACATTGGCGGTGGGTGGAGTCACGGGATGGGTGGCCATGAGTCAGGAATTGCTGGGCCCATGTGTCATCTGTCTGCGCGCTGTTCTGGCCTCCTGGGCCTTCTGCCTCCTCTCTCCCACCCGGGTCTGTGCCTGTGGGCTGCTCGGCTGGGCTGACAGTGCCATGTTTCTGAGAGCTCGGAGCCCAGTCGGAGAAGTCAGGGCACCTGGACTCCAGGTCCCAGGCTCCCGCAACACTCACGGTGTTCCTGGGCATGTCCCCTCCCTCCTTGAGCCACACTTTCCCCGGATTGAAGAGTGAGGGTGGGGCTGGCCAGAGGCTCTCAGCCCCTGCTGCACGGGAGATCTAGGGCAGCTTTGGGAAAAGTAGCATACCCCAGCCGGGTTCAGTCACATTCCCGGGGCAGAGCTTGGTTGGGCACCCGTGCTCGGGCGGCCTGTGGTGGGCTGCGCTGTCCGCGCCGTGGGCCCGCCTGCGGATTGCGGAGCTCGGGGCCTGTGCTGAATCTAGCTGCACCACTTTTCTAACACCGTGAGGAGCTGACTTCGTGCCTCCAAGCTTCGGCTTCCTCATCTGTGAAATGGGGGTGCCAGGGCCACTCTGTAGAATCGCTGTGGGGACTAAATGGGGTGACCAGTGCTCAGTGTCCGATAGAGCCACGCCTGGGCTGGATGTGGCAGGCGCTGTGCAAGGGGTCAGCTGCTCTGTTCTCTGACCTAAAGCCGTGTTCACCCTGCGCCTCCCCTCACTGCTCCTTCATGCATCCGGCAAACATTCCAGGGGCCGGTGCTGGGTGCTGTGGGCAACGGGAAGAAGACACCCGTCATGGGGGCTGGCCTCAGCCCCTCGTGTTAGTCTGTCCAAGGGTCCAGTCCCAGAGGTCAGCTTCTGTCCCAAAGATTGATGGGCATGTAAGAGGTGGCTCCCCCCCCAAATCCCTTGAAGTTGCTGGGCTGTGGGAGCCCCTCCATCTGAAAGAATGCAGGGAGACCCCAGACTCCAGGGCGAAGGAAGCCACCCTAGGCTAGTCCTGACGCTTCAGCCGGGAAGCAGCTACAGAGGTCCTCGTACCTCCTGCTGGGGCCCCAGGATGCGCTCTGGGTATGTGATGGCTCCCACAGGGCTGGGCTCCGGGGCTGCCCAGGATGGTAGGGTCAGCCAAGGTCGTCGGTGTGTGGGACAGAACGGGAGCCTCCTCATAGCACATCACCTGGCCTGGCCACATCCTCCATCTCCCAGATTTCCTCCAGCAACCCTGGGGATTAGGCAGACATCGTCCTCTTGCTTTACAGACGGAGGATGGGACCTCATGGGATGGGGAGGTACTGGCCCAGGTCACGGAGGATAAAAGGGCAGAGGCAGGGTTGGAACCCACTTCCATTCAAACAGGGTCGGGGGGCAGACAGTCAAGCTTCGCTGGGCAACTGCATGGGTGAGCATCTTGGGATGGGCTGCAGAGAAGCATAACGATTAACACACCTTACAACCTCCCTCCCCAGCCTTCCCAGCAGCAACCCTGCAGACCACCACTGGGCTGCCCTTGACGGGAGGACTGGCCATCCTACAAACAGCAAGAGCCCCTGTGGCCTGGCTCCTCCGAGGGCCAGGAGTTGAACCACGCCTTTACCCCAGTTAGACCTCCTCCCTCCCCATTATACCATTGAGTAAACTGAGGCAGGGGTAGGTACAGGGACTAGGCTAAGGCCATGTGGCTTGCAAGCAGCAGAACCAGGATTTCATCTAGGCCTGGGTGACGTTAGTGCCTCAGCTCAAACCCGTTACCTCCTGCCAGCAAGAACAGGGCTTTCCTTTGTCTAGCGTTTGTAAATCTGGGCCTTGGCCACCACCTCAAACTGGCCTGGCCCCCACGTGACCAGAATCCCAGGGGGACGCCTGTTTGGGGGGGGGTGTGACTGCCGGGGGCTGGCCCTGGCCCGGGAGAGGGGTCACCGGGAATGCTTGGGGCTAGACGGTATGCGGGTGCCACGGGGAGTCCCTCGGCCCTTCAGCCTCCCGACCTTCCCGCCCACCTCCTCAAGTGGAGGGAGCACAGGGCTTGGAGTCCAGGCTGCCCATGGAGCTGCCCAGCCCTGTGCCAATCGTGGATGAAATGTCAGCTCAGCTAATCCTTCAGCCCGTGTTAGCCCAGATAAGGAGACTGAGACCTGGGGGACAGGTGCCTTGCTCGTGAGTCCTTAGCTCCTTGGTCCAGGCTCAACACCAGAACTGACTCTCTCTTTGGTTCTCATCTTGCTCTTGGGCCCACCCTTGTTCCTCTTTGGACTTAGGTACCCTCCCCGGTAAGCTGGCAGGCTTAAACTAAGAACGTCCCAGGACTCTTCTGAGAGCCTCCGCCAGCCTCCATTAATGCTGTAGAGGAATTGGGCTTGGGGCGTCCTAGGGATGGAGGTAAGGGGTATTCCCCCAGGGGTCCCCTCAGATGGGCAGTGCAAGACCAGGTGACAGGTGCCAGCGACCCCAAGCAGAGTGGGCAGAGGCAAGAGACAAAGCCCCTAAGAGGGGGCCATTGACAGAAAATTCAATTTAGATCCTCAGCATTGGGAGTGACAAGTGCCCAGGTGGGCACCAGGGGCCCTGGTTTGGCCAAGCCCAACTGGGTGTCCCTCTAGGCAAGACCCTAGTTCCTGGCAAGGGAGAAGCTATGCCCACCATGAAGGGGCTGATGGGAGGGCAGGTGTAGAAGGAGTGCCTGGGAGAGAGCTGACTCCTAGAGGGTGCCCAGCACCTTTGGCCATGGTATGGAAAGGAATTAGGAGCAGGTGGCCCTCGGGAAGGCCATCTCTGGGGAACAAATCCACTGGACCTGCTCCTAAGTCAGCCCTAGCAGGGGCCTGAAGCCAGGATTCATCCTCACAGAGTCCTGGGTCTTTCTCCTTCTGTGATAAGAGAGCCGATATCTTTCCCCAGGAAAGACCCCAAATCTGTGCCTGTCAGCAAACCGAAACCAGCGATAATAACGACCGTCCCTGTTTACGGAGCATTTCCCATGCACGCGTAGAACTGGCATCATCTTGTTGAGGCCTTACACCTCTGACAGGAGGGACTCCTATTATCGCCATTTTACAGATGAGGAAACCAAAGCCCAGGGAGGCTGTTTCTTGCCCAGCGCCACAGCTTAGGAAGTAGCAGAGCTGAGGCCCCGAGTCAGCTATGTCAGAGCCCAGAGCTGCGCCCTGTACCCTCAGGCTATGTTGTGTCCTTGCCCCTTGATTAGAGGAGAAATTGTTTATTTGATGCCTCGAAGAGAGGGGAGACCCTTGCCCCTTTGCACAAGCCCAACACCAAGGGGCTGGGCAGCTTGGTGGGGTGAGGCCCACCTGTGTGCACTGTGAGCCTGAACCCCTCTGAGGGGCTGGATGGGTGAACGCTGTCCCTTGGGGCCTGGGCCATGCACACTGCTAGTGAGGATATTCTGGCTCTGTGAGGCCTCTCTGGAGGAGGTGCTACTCCAGCTTGCCCTGGAAAACAAAGCAAATCAGACTTGGGCCCTGGGTGAGGCTTTGGAAGAGCCCCCGGGGATGTGTCTGTATGTGGCCAGGGATGCTGGTGTCCCCACTCACTGATGCTACCTACAATTCTCTCTTCAGCCCCAAACTTTTCTCCCACCAAGCTTCTGGGCTTTTGCCCTCCTACCTGAGATACTGCCCAAAAGGATGATGCCCCAGGCCCTCTGTTTTGTTGCCAGGCCAAGGTAGGCACACCCACCCACACTCTGTCCTAGAATTGTCCATCTTTCTGGGTCTTGCCTGCCTCATATTAGACACTGTGCAAACACCCTTGGGAAGCATAGAGGCTGGCACTTGTCAGCCTTTGACTCTGCCTTCCCTCTCCCCACCTACCACCCCAACTCTGCTCCTTCTCATCCTCCTCCAGCAGATGGTAGACACTGTCACTAGTTGTTAAAAGAAGGAAATGGATGGATGGATGGATGGATGGAGAGATG